AAATATTGAGTTCATTCATTTTACTATTCGTTTCCAGATATTTTAATTTGTTTATTAAATATTCATTCAATAATTCTAGGATTCTTATATATTTGTGTAAAAGTATTTGTAAAACAATCCAGTATTCCAACTACTTAGTTCATTGTTTACCAACATTCATGATGCTCAGTATATGAAACATGTCATTATACTTTATGTTCAATATAGATACCACTGGAAATAGGATAGTGTTACTTTGTCAATAGGTTCAATTCATCGTCAATTCATTAATTAGACGATTTGGAATTCGCGAATGACCTAGCCCTCCTATCGCATACACATGAACAAATGAAAATAAAGACAGACAGTGCAGCAGCAGTCTCTGCATCAATAGGCCTCAACATAAACAGTTGGAAAACAAAGGTCCTCAAATACAACACAGAGAACATCGATCCAATCACACTTGATGGAGAAACTCTGGAAGATGTAGAATCCTCCACGTATCTGGGAAACATCATCGACGAACAAGGAGGTTCAGATGCAGACGTAAAGGTGAGGATTGGCAAAGCAAGGGCAGCATTCCTACAATTGAAGAACATATGGAACTCAAAACAACTATCAACCGATATCAAGGTGAGAATCTTCAATACGAACGTCAAGGCAGTTCTACTGTACGGAGCTGAAACTTGGAGAACTACAACAACCACCGTCAAAAAGGTACAAGTATTTGTAAATAGCTGTCTACGCAAGATACTCAACATCCATTGGCCGGATACCATCAGCAACAACCTTCTGTGGGAGAGAATAAACCAGCTTCTGGCTGAAGAAGAAATTAGGAAAAGACATTGGAAGTAGATAGGACAGACATTACGCAAATCGTCAAACTGCACCACGAGGCAAGCCCTAACTTAGAATCCTGAAGGGAAGCGGAAAAGAGGAAGGCCAAAGAACACATTACGTCGGGAAATAGAAGCAGATATGAAAAGGATGAATAGCAACTGGAACGAACTGGAAAGGATTGCTCAGGACAGACTTGGATGGAGAGTGTTGGTGGGCGGCCTATGCTTCTTCACGAGAAGTGCCAGGAACTAGAAGAAGAAAAAATATTTTTGTCTTATGAAATATACTAAACATTCATAAAAATAAGAATCCTAAAAAATTCTTTACTTAATTTTCCACTATCGAACTGAACAAAAAGTTATTCAGAAAAAGGAAAAAAGAGCGTTATTGCATAAATTAGTTTAAAATAGTTATGCTTGAAATGGTTCATCTGATTGCATATTCTCTTTAATGAAATCTAATCATACTTTCATAGAGACAGAATAGTCAGTAAAATTTAATTAAATAATTTCCCTTGGGTTTATATGATGTAATAAATAAAAATATATTATAAGTTTGTTAATAGTCGTATATTATTGAAATAACCATTTTATATTAGTATATAAGAAACATTAAGAGATTGGAGTCCATGTTTAATTATATAATTGATAATTAGGCTAACATAACGCATAAAATTGCTTTAGTAATACATGGTTAACATGAAATGAATGCTTATCAACTTGCTTAAATGTATTAAAGTGAAATAAGTAAGTTGATGATTATCAGAAGGGGTTTTGTGGAGATTTTAGTGATTTCAGTAGTTAAAATCATGAGTCATTTTAAGTTAGATCACCATGGACTGATAGGTCTTGGGTTCGGATCTGGCGGGGCTGGATCGTGGATGCGCGCTATTGAGGAGTCTCATAACAGGACGAAACAGCCATCCAGTGCTTCCAGATTTTCCATGGTGGTCTAGTTTCAACTATTGAAATTGATGGTTGCCAAACTTAAGGGAATATACTCAGATTTATCTGTTTCGTTTTTTAATTCAACTATCCCTATAGAACAATGTTATTTGATTAGTTACTCATGTTGCCTCTTATGAAGGAGTAGATTAGCTTTTCATTTATATGTTACTTATTTTTCTGTAATCAAATAAAAGATTAATATTAGAAAACTTTATTCAAGAATATAGAAATTTCTTCTTACGGAGTCGTAAACATAAGTATTAAATGATGTAAGTGTAGAAGGTATAATTCAGAGTTTAATGGACCTGATTATCATGTTCAGTCAGTTATTGTTACAATACAAATTATTATACTTCATGGCCTTCTATGTGGCTTTGAAATGACTCCATCATAAAACTAGTTAGTTTTGGAAATACACATTTTAATCAAAATGTTTGTTGAAGAATAATAAAAGTATAAAATTTTGATCTCCTACATGCAAAGAAGCGATAAATAAATAGCTCCTCTTTCTAGGTATATTGATTGGTAGAAGAAACAATGGTTTCATCAAACGTTTTGTATATAGAAAATCAAAATGGGCAGAGCAATATCTTAATTTCTAAGGTCACTATTCAATCCATTACAAATGTGGATTAATAAAGGTCTTATTCAGTAAGATCAGTCGTATTTGTAATTGCGATACTATTTAAAGAGACATGAAGCTCTTAACTGAAACTAGTGAATAATGGTCATTCATTGAAGTTTATAAACCATTGGAAAGGTAGCAATACGATGAGATGTATGACGTTTTTGACATTAAAAAAACGAGTCTATATTACCTTAACATTTAGAGGTATTTCAACCAGGCGTATGTTGAAACAAGGACTGAAATGAGCTATCAGCAGGACATTTTATACAGCCTAACTTGTCATTATCAAGAAGTCAAGGTCTATATTTTTTTACCAAGACTTCAAATAGCATGCATGTGATCGCTTCACATTCCAGTGCGTCTAGCATTTTACATGTATGTGTGGAGACACGTATACACAGAGGAGCAATTGTAAAGTGCAAGAAAGAGTGTCCGAACACACACTTAAGTGGCTACAGAAGAAAATGAATTCAAACTGTGAAATATGGTCACAGGATAAACAAATATCTTCCTTCATTACGAAACGTTTGGTTGAGACCAGTCATAAGGCTAACATCAAGTGAGCCTTTGTAGTTTTATACAAAAATTTTTAAGAGCATATACACAGGTTTACTGAAGCCTTGGCTGTACGGAAACCAGAATTCCCTTTGTCTAGAAATGTTTTGTTATTTCCCTCATCCTACCTTGATAATACTGATTTACCATCCAGTGTGATTTTCACAGTGTTTTTGTGTACTTCATTTCCACTTACCTTTTAATTTGTTTAGTAGACCTTTTATTATTTATGTATAATATCTAAAGTATATGTGTGATCACATTGTTCGAAATGTATTGCGCAAATATACCACATAATTCTGATAAACTTCGTCTTTTCATCGCATTAATCACATTCACCGAATAATACAAATTAATTTTATTTCATTGCTTTTCATTAGCTAACTGCATACAGCCTGAAATTACAGGGAGTATTACATTTTTAAACAATTGTTTGACATAATATACGTAGTGAAGTTGAGATGAATGTTCAGAGCGAAACTTCAAACCATAATGAAGAGGATTACGTAATCAAGATAGAAATAACCAATGAACGAAGTAACTTGATGTAATTAGGTGAGTACCAATAAAAGATAAAAGCAATTTTAAAAAGCCTATTTTTAATGTTAAACTCATTATCGTAGCACAGAAAAGCTTATCAAACTTCTCTTCTGTACACATACGTCCAGTGGGAAATGTATAATGCCTATTAGATTACCAAAAATCGAGTAAACATTGGTGTTGATTATTTGTTATTTAATTTAGGTGTCACAGTAGTATATACTTCGTACCTACTTTTTCCATCAGGTCCCTGCTGATCGCACTTATGAAAATTTTACTATCTTTCAAGTGGAGATTTCTAGCGACATGTTAAAAAAACGTGTAGTAGGAACTCTTCTGTCTGTTCTTCCAATAAATGCACTACCATAACTAGATGAAAATTCGTAAATACTGTGGTGTGTGCTACTTATGTGGACATAAGTAGTATATAACGCTAGTCAACAATAAAATGTCTGGCGGCAGAAGATCGAGGAGGAAAGAACGAGACACAGAAGACAATTAGTATGGAAATGTAGGAACAATAAAGTCTGTGACAATTAATGAAATATTTACTGTATGCTTTTCAGATTTTATGAAGACATTCTGTAATTTTGTGTTTAAATACATTCGACTGTCTCCATTTGTGTTCTCATTCATTACAATACCACTAAAAATATCTGACCATATATTTTATATTCTGTACTTACTATGATTTTAGGCCCTATCTTGAATAATCATACAGACTTCACTAAATTATATCAAAGTGGCTAGCAGTGAAGTCCAGTTTAGACGCACGTTTCGTCCAATTTGGCACTCATTAGCTGGTTATACCTGCATCTCAGATTTAATATCCCCTCTGGGACTCGAACCCAGTACCGTTTGATTCAAACGTCATTGTGTTATCCACTTAGCTACTGAGTTCTTATGAAGTGTGCTAGTGGGGGGCCTATGCTCCTCCACGAGAAGTAACAGACGTACGTAAACGATATCAAAACTCTATTGATATTAATATTGCCCTTATATAATTTCAATCGATTTGCAGTTCATGTAAAGCTATAAAATATAATGAATTCATATTTATTCAATATATCATATTCTTCTTCATTTATTTAAGTTGTAATTAAGTTTAATGAAATTTCATTACTAAAATATACTAAAATGAAAATTATATTAATACACGCAAGTACATTATTATTACAGTATAATTTTTTAAAATTATTTTCTAATAAATAATGTAAAATATAAGATACATTTAAAGGTGAAATATACATACATGACAGTAACATGAAAACAGTATACAATTAAATATATGAACAGTTTACGCACACACACACACACGCACAAAAAAGGAAAAAAATTAAACTTTTTATTAAACTTAGTAATGAATATTTTGTTTGATTGTTTTTCAGTTCTAACTCATTTAGTTTCATTAGAAATAGTATTTGTGAAATAAACTGATTTCAGATTTTCTTTCTTTTTTTTCTTTTTTCTTTTCTTGAAAATACTTGATCCAATATTATTTATTTAGTTGTTTATTTACAATTGGGATAAATTTGATCTAGTTCTTCTTTAGAAACAGTTGCTACACTTAAACGACTTTTTTTATTATGTTTTTTATAATTTTGCTGATAATCATTAGATGATGTAATAAATTCTTGAATATTATCATTTTTCTCTTGTTCTTCTAATATTTTCTCTTCTTCTTCTTCAAATATTAAACAACCAACACCCATAATTCCAACAATTTCATCTAAAACATGACCCCATGCATTTCTTACATCATCAGTAAATTCTTCATAAATTAATCGTCCCCATGTCATTAAAATTGCTTCTTTTATAATCTAACAGTAAAGATGAAAATAGTTATAAATATAAAAAGAAAATTTTTTTAAAAAAAGAACAATTATTTCTGATCCAAGAGAGATAGTCTCTTGATAAGTGTTTAGTTAAAGTAATCTCAACAAAGTAGTTTTTTGTGTGAACCGGATAAAATTACGTATCTAAATGTCTACTATGTACAGAGTATGTTTGTTTTAAGGTGGTCGTTGGAGGTAGTCGACAGGAAACCCTAAACCCGAGTTTCGTGCTAATTGGCGCTCGTCAGAAAAGTGTACCTGTAATCTTGAGTGAACTGATACTCTCTGACAGATTCGATACCATATTACCCAGCTTCACAGTCAGAGACGTTACCACTGAGCTATCCGGGTCGTGACTGCCCTCCTGTATGATTGAGATGTATTCACAATTGATTGATGACTTATTGGTCGATAGGATTCGATTTGGATTCAAAAGGATCTGACATACATGAGACAGATCACAACCTAGTGATTAATCAATTGTAAGTATGCCTTTTGTATAGTTTTTACCAGATCTGTGTATTCTGATCTCATGATACTGTACATTAAAAGTTTCACGTCACTTATCTATATCACATAAACAATTATTCAGCTATTATCAGTTATATGTACACAAAGGTTTTGTAATCGTAAATAAATGGAAAATATTCTGTATTCATATTGACAAAACTTAAATATTTAAATCACTGAATAATATATCTGTGTTTTAATGATGTGCGTAATTGTCATAAGGTGTCTAGGTGGTAATTCATTTATTTTTTATTAAGCCGGGGTGTAGAGATAGACATGGGGAGAATGAACAACAATTGGTTAGAACTAAAAAGGAAGGCCGAGGACAGAGGGGGTTAGAGAATACTGGTCGGTGGCCTATTCTCAATTGGGGGTAACAAGCGTAAGTGAGTAAATAAGTAAGTCTAGGTCGTAGTTGCTATATCTGGAAGATTTTAAGGTACACAATACAGTGGTGTCTCAAACTATGAAGAAATGGCCATTCAAAGATTGGTATTTCTCAGTGGTCATTTATGTATATTCAGGTAGTCATTTAAAATGCACACTGAACACTATTCACAAACCTTCTTCAGTTACCAAACAGCCAATTTCAAAGGTTTGTTGTTGTTGACAGTGATAGAAAATTTTCAACGCTGTTGAAGTCAGTTTTTACATTTTAAGATTTTTAGATAGAGCATAACTACTTATCTAATTCAAGATATGGAGTCATTCTAATAAGAAGAGAGGGAAAATTCACAAAAGACTATTCTTCACTTTATTAAACCAGTTTCTAATTCAGGTATTTTTTTATATCAATCTTCTTTTATTGAATCTTATTTTACAGTTTACATTATCGATTGCTAGTGCTTGTATTCCACATGTATACAGACAACTTTGAGCAGCATTTTATTAAATGAAAGAAAATATGAGAATAGTCTGTTTGCCCTAAGACAAAGAGGTTTACAGCTCATTGCTTCAATCCAACATTCTATAAAAATCTTTGTGTGAAAACACTTTTGGTTACAGAAAACTTAGATACATATATTTGGTTATTATGATTGTATAGATTTTCATTAAATTTTCTTGTTAGAAATTATAGAAATTTAATAGTGTTAGGTACCCATAAGTGTTAAAAATATTAGACTGTTGTAGTTGAGTTACCAAGCCATGTGAATCTGTGTCCAACTAGAAATTACATTTATTTTATTACAAGTACTGATAAAAATAAACCAGTTGGTAGCTACACAAACTTTTAGTGTAACCTGCATATTCACCAATAAATAAATTACAATTCAATGTAAAGTTGATTAATCCTATGGTCGAACTTATTCGATTGTACAAAGCATTATAGAAGAATCTATCAAATCAAGCTGCCATTCAACTGAAAAACGGGGATAATCAACTTAATAAAGAATGAGAACTGTAAACTTACAACGTACTAGCTAATTAATATTGGTTTTACTCGATTGCATATCTCATTTAACCAGTTCTAGTAAAGAAACATAATTTCACTATAAAATGAAATTAATTTGTAATTAATTAATCGTTAAAAAATAAGACTTCTGTAATTAGTTTATAATTAACTACATCATATGGAATATAGACTGTATAACTAACCTTAAAATATTCAATTTTCATATAATTTATAGCAGCGTGTTTTGCTCCAAGTAATGCCAATTCTTCATATAATGACTTACTATCACCTTCTAATGCTTTAACAGCCATGTTTATTACTCTCATAACTTTGGCTGAATGTCTTTTACAATCTGGACTATCCACAAGTACATCAGGACTAAGATGACTAGAAGTATGAAAAATATATATATAATGAATTATAAGGTATTTACTTTGTAATTTCAACTTGTCATGACATATAACTCACAAATTTATGCAAAAATTGTTTTGTAAGATTAGTTTTCCACACGGACTAATATCAAGTGATTGTTCAGTGACTTCTCAATTATGCACATATAAATAATCGTAAATCAAACCAAAAAAATATCTCAGTCACATAATAACTTACATACGCCTGTTAACCCTCGTGGAAGAACATAGACCGACCTCCAGTATTCTCCACCCAACTCTATCCTGAACAATCCCTTCCAGTTCCTTCCAGTTGCTATTCATCCTTTTCATATCTGCTTCCATTTCCCGACGTAATGTGTTCTTTGGCCTTTCTCTTTTCCGTTACCCTTCAGGATTCCAAGTTAGCGCTTGCTTCGTGATACAGTTTGATGATTTTCTCAATGTCTGTCCTATCTACTTCCAATGTCTTTTCCTAATTTCTTCTTCAGCTGGAAACTGGTTTTTTCTCTCCCACAGTAGGCTGCTACTGATGATATCCGTCTCGTAATAAGGAGAAAGTCTAAAAGATGTTAGTTGAGTCTCTATTTGTCTAATGTCACTGAGCACATTTATATGACTACTGGCACGGTTATATTTCACTTCCAATTTTTCGATGTTAATCAATATATTTTTCTTCATTACAAGTCATCCTGTTGTTTAAATGTTTCAACAAAACAAAAAAAACCCATGATATTATATAAATGAAAGTAATTAAGTGTTCAATATGGATAACTGCAATGAACAATTGTTCTTTAATCCACTTGGTGTTGTTTTGCTTGTATCTTCCTATTATCATTTAGGACTGCAATTGATCAGTCTCATGTTGGTATATGTGCATCCTGTGCGGATTGTCTCGATATAGCCTTAAGTCACAAGCTTTTTAAGCAAAGATGAATAATGGCTAGCAGTGAAATCCAGGATACGCGTTTCGTTCTATTTGGGACTCATCAGTTGGGTGTGCCCACTTCTCATAGTTGATATTCACCCCGGGACTCGAACTCAGTACCGTTCGCTTCAAACGCTATTGCATTATCCACTTATCCACCTACATAAGCAGGTGGCTATCAGGACTCAGTATCTAAGTGAATAACGCAATGACGTTTGAAGCAAACGGTACTGGGCTCGAGTCCCTGAGTGGACATCAACCTTGAGATGCAGGTACATCCAGCTGACGAGTCCCAGATGGAACAAAACGCTTGTCCTAGATTCCACTGCTAGCCAATATCTATCTTTGAATAAAAAGTGTTTTTTTATGGAAAAAATGTATTCAGTTTAAATATTTTTTTATGAATACATTAAAGTATATCAGTTACTTAATCTGTTATAAATTTTACAGATTGTTAAATAAACTTGAATTTATGAATAATTTGTTTGATAAAAAGGTGTAGCTAGCTTGAAATCCAAATATGTCAATGAAAGTCTTTATTTCTATGGTATTATTCTACCGAAATGTATAAATAGTTACTGATACCTTCTATTGTTAATAACTGTGTTCATCATTTAAAACAAATCAAAAATATATTCGTTAATTTAATGCCTACTATTTCGTTGTTTGTAGATAAGTAAATACTGGGGAATATCTAAGAAAGTCATTTGTTCAATAAAATTTTATTTAAATAAGAAAAATTGGCTCAGCGAAGAATTCTCTTTTCGGCGAATCCGTTTTCAAGGCTCTACAATCGCAAATATATTTACTTATTTTTCCATCAGGATAATAATAATAATGATAATGATAATAAACTCCTGTTAGACATAGTGACAATGAGGTACAATAAGCAAAGGCATTGAAGAAATTTTTTTAATAGGGAAACTAATAGTTGTTTGATTGTTAATGGCTTAAATATTCATCAAAAGATAGATAAGGAAATTAGCATTGGGAAAGGATGGCTCAGCATGACAATAAAAAGTGTTGAAACTGAGAATAAATTTAATCAGGAGGATCGTAGAAACCATTCGGGAGAAACAGATGACTATAAAGGAAGAAGAGTATGAAAAAAATCATAAGACATTAAGACAATGGTAGAAGAAGAGGTTATACGAAGCTCTTTTGGATACGTAATTCTGGTTTTTCCAGATGTATGGCTATTTCTTCGGCAATGCAAAGAAGATGCAATCTAATTCTCTTTGGAAGACTTTCAATTACTTTGTAGATGACTTTGAACGCATAGTCCGTCTTGATTGAGTGACCTGTGTTCATAAGGTATTCGATTATTTAACTTTTTATTGATGAATATTAAAGCCATTAACAATCAAACAATTATTAGTTTCCCTGTTTAAAAAAGATTTATTGAATACCTTAATTTATTCTACCTCACTGTCACCATGTTTAACAGAAGTTTATTATCATTATAATTGTAATTATTATCATCCTGACGAAACATAATAAGTATATAGATTTGCAATTGTACAGCTTTGAAAATGAATTCGCTGAAAAGAGAACTCTTCATTGGACCGATCTTTCATTATTTAATATTTTAATGGATGTATTCCGTTTACCATAAAATTTTATTTAACACGTTAGCAACTGTTTATTTTTTGCCCCATGTCATCACGATTAACCACATTAAATATTTAAATCATACCAATTACACAACTCTTATTCATCAAAATAATAACTTAATAAGTAGTATTGAACATTTTTCATTTGAAAAGAATAAAAAAGTAACAACAATCAAATGAATTTTACTGATCACACTTACATGTACTTATATATACGGTATGTTCTAATCTTATTTAACTTGTCAACTTCAAAGAACACATATAAGCGAACAATTGTTTTCAATTAGATCGTCATCAGGCTTCACTCTAATATACATGAATATTTATACGAAAATGTTAAAGCAATCAAGGCAATATGGGTGAATAATCACAATGAAATAGAATAGGTCACCACACATAATAAGTAGAAATACAAGTTGATAGTAGGAAAACAGGTGTACTGATAGTGGTAAGAATAATAAAATACCACCAGCGATGTCTGCGCAAACGAAGGAAAAGTTACCTGAGTTGGCTTCCTCAATGTGCATTTACAAATTCAGCTGCTCCTGTGGAGATAGCTATATCGGGCGTACTACCAGGCAACTTAACCAACGAACGAGTGAACATCTACTAGCGTGGTTTATAAAGGGCCAGATAAAAACAATTCGCAGTTCTATCTTGGCACATCTCATTGATAGCGGTCATGCTGTAGATAAATCGGAGGCATTTCGAGTGATCTATCGAATACCTCCATCATTTCCCAAAGGAGTTCGTTCCCGCCTCCTACACATAACTGAAGACATAGGAATTCGTATATACAACCCCAATTTATGTGTACAGAAGAAATTCGTAACCCCCTATCCCTTCCATGGTCAGTTATAACTTAACTAACGATTTTTTTAAAATTATTATTATTTATTTATTTAATTTTATTTTTGTTATCATTGACCTTGTTTTCACGTCCAGTATTTGTTTGTAATTTTCCGCCTCTTGCCGTTTGTATTCTTCACTATCTAATTATTTACACACTTCTTATTACGTAATGATTTTAATGTTTCGTGATGACTATTCCACGTCTATTTACCCACGTTTGACCTTCTATTTCCAACGTTCAACTATTGATAAGAGTTTTGTTACCATATTTTATTATTCTTACCACTATCAGTACACCTGTTTTCCTACTATCAACTTGTATTTCTACTTATTATGTGTGGTGACCTATTCTATTTCATTGTGATTATTCACCCATATTGCCTTGATTGCTTTAACATTTTCGTATAAATATTCATGTATATTAGAGTGAAGCCTGATGACGATCTAATTGAAAACGACTGTTCGCTTATCTGTGTTATTCTAATTTTCACAATGGGAATCTTTAAACTTCAAAGAAGTAAATAAAGAAAGCATTTATACCATTCAAATGCTTCTTTCATGAATGAGTATCTTATTATCTTTTTAAAAAATAAATTCACTGTATCAACAATAAATATCATAGTAATTCTTTATTATAGAAATTGTCAAAAATATAAACTCAGAATATTACTTTTTTTTAATTTTAAAAAATTGATTTTTATTTTGTTTCTATGTCGATAATAATAATAACGATACTTTCAATAAATAATAAAAAAACAATCTGTCATGGGATTTTGGTCATATAAATACTGCATAGTGATTATTTTTTTTGGTAGATATGACTTAAAATGATGTGAAATATGAAAAAGAGAATTCAGCGAAGAAAATTTTCTTTTCGACGAAATCATTTACTTAAGCTGTACATTCGTATATATAGTTATATGGAAAATGTATGTCTATAGAAGGTGTTTTTTTTTTCTAATGTACTTTTATTATTATCCATATTTTTAAATTACTATTTTGCACTTTAAACTTTAATCATTTATTATTATTACCTTTTACAAGTTTTCTTGATTATCATTCAGTTTATTATTATGACCTTTGTTGTTTTGTCGTTTTTCTTCATATCTGTCAATCTGTCAATTGGACTATCATCTGACCCTTAAATTTTGTTCTTCCTTACCCCTTGATTAGTACGTTAACCTCATTTGTTATTTATTGTCGAATCCATTTTTCGTGATACAATCCTTTCTATCCTTCTATAGACATACATTTTCCATATAACTATATATACGAATGTACAGCTTAAGTAAATGATTTCGTCGAAAAGAAAATTTTCTTCGCTGAATTCTCTTTTTCTTATTCAATGACACTATGGGTTATTTTAATTATCTGAAAAATTGCAAGGATCCTGTGACAGTGAAGGAACTCAGTGGGTTTCTTGGTTATTCTGTCAAGCTTGCTATAGCGAATACTAGAATCAATTTTCTGAGAAGCTGTATAGACAAACGCGAATATCCGAGACCATTTTTCAAATCATTACGCCGTAACCATATTCATCCAAATCATCGTTCGTTAAAACGTCTTACTCTCAATTATGTCGATGAAATTAAGTCTAGAATACCA